CAGGACTTTAAAATGAGGAAATGCCAGGCGGGCGTTTCCCCACACCTGACCCTCATGAAGACTGAAAAGACAAACAAAGTAAGTATGAACAAATGACTTAATCTGAAACATAATAAAATATAAAGAAACATGTAACTGAGTATTTGCCTTAATTTGCAGCATGTTTGATTTGCCGGCAACAAAACGCTTCCACAAACAAACCCGGGATAGTGAGTGAAGCAATGTTACTTGACAAATAGCAAATCATAGCAAATACATAGAAACAGAATAATGTGTACAATGTGCAAAAAAGATAAACACATATGGGACAAATGGAGAGCATTGCAACTGCTCCTCCACTTTGTCATAGAGGCACACAGAGTCTTTGCAGGCTGCTACGGATCAGACCTCTATCATTACGCATTCCATTATAAAACTCTAAGCATATATGAGTAAATTTTTCTAAGCATAAATGACAATCAGCAATATAAACCTGACACCACACTTGGAAAGATGAATGCAGCAGGTACAGATACTGCTCCAGGGCATTCTTATTCCACCTTGAATCATTTGCATAATTAGAACCTTTGTTCTCATGATTTGGTGCAATATAAATAAAATATATATAAATAAAATTGAACTGTAACACATCTTGTCATGTTCAACAACATAACAAGATATCCAACGTCTTTGTCTAGAGAAACTCATTGGTTGTTTTTGCAGTAAGCGTTTCATCATGTGCATCTTGTTGTAAAAACCCTGATTTGTAGACTTTCTCCTCCAGAGTTTTCTAGTCATGGGGTAGATGCCGTAAATGTTTTTTTCTTGACCAAGTAAAAGTTCTTTGATTGTTCTTTTTAGCTATTTTTTTAGCACATGCTTTTCTTTGGGCCTCATATTTCCAGATTCAGTGCAAAGCTACTAAAAAAAAAACCTCCTGATCTTTCATCTGCTTCACAGGTTATTGCATAATTAGGAAATGGACATTACATGACCATGACACTGCAGCAAGTCTTGCACATCCAGGATGATGAACTAAGCACCAGGTGAGAGAACTGGATGTTTAACTACAGCCATTTGACTGAAAAGGTTTGAAAGCTAACGGAATCAGAGAATTATTCATTTATATTATTGAGAATTAAAGTTCAGAGTGCAACAAATCAGAAATACTGGTAAAACTCACAAGCAGGTTCCCAGTCAGACTTGTCCATAACACCTTGGATGTGCCTGTGAGGCATCCTTGCCTGATGTCTGAACCACCTCAGCTAGCTTTCTTTGATTTGGAGAAGCTCATTTCTACCAAGACCATAAATGAGGGCTAAATAAATGGCTAAATGAAGCCAACAAAATCAAATAATCTGCAAAAACCACAGTTGTGATCTTAAGTCACCTGAACCACAAACCCTCTGCTCGCTGGCTGCACCTAGAAATTCTGTCTATACACAGAATTACAGACAGAATTCAAATTCACATGTGACTTTGAAGAATCATTTCTATCCATAAGATAGCATGTACACACAAATAGCTCTACCAGCTTCAGCTACAATCATGGCGATCGTGGCTCAAGGGTTGGGAGTTAGTCTTGTAATCGGACGGTTGCCGGTTCGAGCCCCAGCTCTGACAGTCTCGGTCGTTGTGTCCTTGGGCAAGACACTTCACCCGTTGCCTACTGGTGGTGGTCAGAGGGCCCGGCGGCGCCAGTGTCCGGCAGCCTCGCCTCTGTCAGTGCACCCCAGGGTGGCTGTGGCTACAATGTAGCTGCCATCACCAGTGTGTGAATGTGTGTGTGACTGAACGTAGTGTAAAGCACTTTGGGGTCCTTAGGGACTAAGTAAAGCGCTATAAAAATACAAGCCATATATAAAAATGTTTGGCATCAGTATGGTCACACAATTGTGCAGCATTGTTTGAATGTGTGGGGGATACTACCTTGCACAGCCTGGAGCTTGTGTGTCTGGATGATAATGCACAGCTGAAGCACCAGTTGTGGAGCGCTCTCCAGAAAGGTTGCCAGTAGATGCAGCATGCTCACATCTGCAAACTCATAGACCATCCTCCAGTAGTAACGCCAGCGCTCCGTCTCAGCACCCTGGCGACTCCGAACACCCAGGTAGATGGTGTGGAAATACCTGAGGGGAAAAATACAGTGCTTGAACATCCACCATGCATGCTCAAACATTCAAGCACAGTACATCAACTCTTCTGAAGTCCAAACTTTATAACTCACCTTCTCTTGGAAGTACCAAATGGAAAGAAATTTGGACAAATGTATATAATAATGTTATTAATTTCTAACAATAGAAACATTGATAATCTGTAACACAAGGCTGCTGCTAACTGACATATGAAGACAGTTAAAGGTTACTTTTGATAATCTATTCTGGTCCCATAGCATAAAACTTCATGGCAAAAATATTACTGAGACGTCTCATCCAGATCATTCAATGATTTTGTGGGAATCCGAATCAGAAAGGGTTTTAATGCCAAATGTTGAGCAGGTTTACACTTAAATAAACAGAAAAATTAAAAGTGCTAAGCAGATTAATATATACATGTGCGCAGGTGATGATCAGTACAAAAATGGAACAGATGCAGAGAACACAGTATCGGGTCATGTGTTTGTGGTGTATTGTTCATGTGTCCAACAGCAGAGGGGAAGAAACTGTTCCTATCCGGTTGTTCAGTCTGACGTCACTAGCTGTGTCTGGACCTAAACTCCGCTGCAGGTCCATATATCAAACGATCACTATGGCATTACTGAGAGTTGAAAAACTGTCTAAAGTCTTTCATCTTTAATAAAATGATCAGCGTTCTGCTCTACCAGGTGTAACAATTGAGTTTAACATCCAGGCATCCATGAAAACGGAATCTATGACATTTAGCAGGAAGTTAGCTCGCTAGCTTCTATCTAAATACAATATAGCATGTCCTGACTGCGGGGTTTTAGAAACAAATTCAAACGTACAGCTCTGTTATCACTTCCAGCATAAATGAAGACAGAAAACTAAACAGCAGTGACGTTTGTAGGGTTACTGAAGTTGGGCTAGCTGGTATATAATGATGTGCTACGTGACCGCTAGTGACACAGCTATGTTAGCATAATATAAACAAGCTAACTTTTTTGTTCCACTGGATAAAAGTTAACATGAGTGTTCTCGGTGGTCAGGAACAAATGTAATCGCATGGCAGGATGCTGTAAAAGGACCAAACTTCAGCCAGGAGAACAACTGAGATAATCCATCCACAATACGAGGTTAGTCATTCATATACTGCTGCATGGGCTGGGCTGTAGTTACATCCTAAGGTTTTAAAAACTGAGCTTAAATAAATGATTAGCGGTAATAAAAGCCGAGGGAGGTCAGCAGTGATCACTGACTGTTTTAGGAGCTTTTTGAGATCAAATAGAAGAAAATACAAAACATTAAACATGTTAACAACACAAAAGCCATATTAAACACAGACTACTTTAGACCCGGAAGTAGGATTCGTCACGTCATCACTTAACGACCGGATAGGAACCTCCTGCCTGAGGGGAGCAGGTCAAACAGACTGTCCAGGGTGAGAAGGGTCAGCTGTGATCCCAGCGGCACACCCCAGTGTCCTGGAGGTATACAGGTCCTGCAGAGATGGGAGTCTGCAGACAATCACCTTCTCAGCAGAGCGCACAAAACACTTTTCACAGTGTTTTTGCTTTATTTTGTTGTACTAACAGAATCTCCCAGTTTAGACTTTTCACTTGGCCTTTAATGTTTCCTGGATGCTTGCTCTGATGTGCATCACCTGTTCCTTCATGACCCTTAACAGCTTTTTAAGCACATCTCTCTCACCACACACACACACACACACACACAGTGTATATACAGTATTGTGCTTTTCTTCTCTAACTGAGCACTAAAAATAATTTTACTACTATTGTTCAAACACCCAAGCACCTTCTGTTTTTATCCTTTAGCACCATGTTTTCATACAAATTGCCCTCAATGAAGCAGCTTGGGATTCGGTATCTTACACAAGAATACCTCAACACACAGACTCACACAGCCAGGCACTGAATCAATAGACAACCCACGCTATTTAATTCAATATATTTATACAGCGCCAAATCACAACAACAGTCACCTCAGGGCGCTTTATATTGTAAATGTATTGACATACATAGAAAACCCCAACAAGCACTTTGGCGACAGTGGGAAGGAAAAACTCCCTTTTAACAGGAAGAAACCTCCGGGAGAACCAGGCTCAGGGAGGGGCCGGGCCATCTGCTGTGATTGGGGGAGGTAGACAGGATAAAGACATGCTGCTCTGCCTCCCATTCTACTTTTAAATACTCTAGGAACAACAAGTAGGCCTGCAGAGCGAGAGCGAAGTGCTCTAATAGGCTGATATGGTACTACAAGGTCATTAAGATAAGATGGGGCCTGATTATTTAAGACCTTGTATGTGAGGAGCAGGATTTTGAATTCTGGATTTAACAGGAAGCCAATGAAGGGAAGCCAAAACAGGAGAAATCTGCTCTCTCTTTCTAGTCCCTGTCAGGACTCTTGCTGCAGCATTTTGGATTAGCTGAAGGCTTTTCAGGGAGTTTTTAGGACATCCTGATAATAATGAATTACAGTAGTTCAGCATTGCTTTTTTTTCTCCTTTTTTTTAAGTAAAGCAACAAACTATTTCTCCAGGCTAAATGATGATCTTCTAAATTTGTGACACGCCATTTCCTCTCCATCTTACAGATTATCTGCTTTAGGCTACGTGTTTGAGAAGTACAGTGGTTCCTCGCTATAATGTGGTTCACCTTTCGCGGCCTCGCTGTTTCGCAGATTATTTTGGTTGTGCAATTGTGCATGTTTTTTTCTTTTTTCTTTTTTACAGCGCATTGTGCTCTGCATCCTGATTGGCTGTAGGTAGACCATTGCCAATTATTCTCGTGCCGTGTCTCCTGTACAGTACAGAATGCATTCAGCTTATCAAATTCACATAAATCTTCGATCGTTAGCAGTGTGACTCTGAAGTGCTTTATGTTTGTAAGTTTTCTCCACAACAAACACAACAACGTCGGCGAAATGTCGTCACCTGCTGGTACCTTTGGTTTCATTCTATAATACTGGACTTACTTTTCTACAAAGGTCTTTGAGAGTTTAAACAAGATAGAAAAGTGTGAAAGCGTTCATGCCTGTCTGAGAAAAGTGTATAAAGTTTGTAGTGAGGGCTTTTACAGCCTTAAAACATCAGAAATAACTGTAAAAAATAAAGTTGGCTACTTTGCAGATTTCAGCTATCGCGATGTTTATGGCAGGATGTAACTCCTGCCATAAACAAGGGACCACTGTATACCACGGAGTCAAATACTTGGTTTCTTGATTTGAGGCCTTAGTTTTCACAGGAGCTACAGTATCCAGAGTCGTACGTAGTGCGGAGGTGAAATTATTAACAAGATAATCGACTTCTGTTGGGGTAGCGTTCAGATAGCTGCTCTGCTCTGTGTTGGTACAGGGCATTGAAGATGATAACAGTGGGTGGATTATATTCTTAAACTTAGTTACAGCGCTTTCAGAAAGACATCTACTTTGATAAAGTCTACTCTCCACCGCTGTGTAATCAATTATTGTAAATGTAAATGTTATCAGGAAATGATCAGACAGGAGAGGGTTTTCAGGAAACACTGTTAAATGTTCAGTTTCTATGCCATATGTTAGAACAAGATCTAGAGTGTGATTAAAGTGGTGGGTGGGTTCTTTTACATTTTGAGAGAAACCAATTGAGTCTAATAACAGATTAAATGCCATGTTGAGGCTGTCATTTTTAGCATCTACATGGATGTTAAAATCACCCACAATAATTATTTTATCTGAGCTCAGAACTAAATCAGATAAAAAGTCTGAGAAATCAGACAGAAACTCTGTGTAAGGCCCAGGTGGACGATAGATGATAACAAGTAAGACTGGTTTCTGAGTTTTACAGCTGGGGTGGACGAGGCTAAGCATCAGGCTTTCAAATGAATTAAAAGTCTGTCTTGGTCTTTGGTTGATTAATAGGCTGGTTGGAAGACTGCTGAAGATTTGGTGCAGATGTGGATACTGTATTGTTCTTTCTTTGTAAATGGCCTGTATTTGTATAGCGCTTTACTTAGTCCCTAAGGACCCCAAAGTACTTTACACTACATTCAGTCATCCACACGTTCACACACTGGTGATGGCAGCTACACTGTAGCCATAGCTGCCCTGACTTAAATATAAACACTGATTGTATTTATATTTAAGTTGTTTTTTACTGACCGGACACAGCCTGAGTCTCATGCTGATCAGTGCTGGTTGGGTCCCAACAACAGACTAGAAACAGGCTGACCAGGGTAAATGAGATGTGTCATCTTTTATAGGTTATTCGTGTATATATGTTGATGATACCTGATACTCACCACAGGAGGGAGGAAAGTTTTTCTACAGCACAAGAAACCTCTGACAGAACAAACCACAACCTGGATCTACCCACGTGTTCACCAGGGAAAGAAAAGTACGGTCACAGGACACCAAACATGTCAAACAGTAAATGTGGCTGTAGCCGCAGATATGAAATTCTGAATTAGAATTTGATAAATTCTTGATATAAAGCATTATAACACATCCAATTTAACTTTACAAAAGAAGAGAGTGAAAATCTATTGTGTTGGGTTGCAGCATGGACAGAAGCACGCACACTGCAGCTCAACCTTTCCTGTCTTTACCTGAAGCAAACACTCTTTTGAAGAAATGCATCATTACTACTTTTCAGCTTGCCTCCAGCCTACATTTTATTCTCTCTCTGTCTGTGAAGCATTCATTTCCATTGTCTCTTTCCCATTACCACTACCACCAAAACACACAGTCATTTAGCAGCATGCTAATGGACTGTGAAATTAAGTTGCAGTAAAGAATTTTAGAATTGAATCTGAGCTGATAGCATTTAAGCTGCAGTCTATTCATGGTCAGATGGACCAGACACATGGTGAAGCTGTGGCTCCAGAGGAGACTGAACGGTTGTGTACTAGTGACCTTTTCACTTCTTTGGTCCTAAATGATGAACCTTTATCTAAAGTTCAGGATTGGGACCACACCCCAAACATATTCTCTCTGTCTGTGTCTGTTGTGTTCTCATTTCTGTGTTTTATACATTGCCACATTATGTGGCACTCACAGTACATTTCCAACCAGACTTTTTAAAGTCTTATATTCTATCTGCTTTTCTTTAATCATCTTATCATGGACCTCCTTCTCTCAGCCTATCAATTATAAATATTTCCAGCCGAGATCCTGCAGATCCTCTCCAAACCATTCCACTGAGCTTTAGCAGGTTTCCACAGAGATGCCACCAAATACTGCTGGGAAAGTAAGCTAACAAAATGACACTGCAGTTCATAACCTGCTCAGTAACCTCAGCTAGCAAAACTTTCTCTCTGCTCCAGTCAAAACCTCTGATTCATTTTGATTTGATTTGATATACCTTTATTAGTCCCACAAGGGGAAATTTCATAAGGCTGCCGACCTATTGCACGCAATGGCGGCACCATCTTACCCTCCGACCATACATACATTACACAAAACATCACATGGGGAAGACAGGTCAGAGAGGTATAACAATGGAAAATGCACCACATGAGGAAAGATAAGGAGAAAAAAATAACTCCCCTCAGACTGAGCTCCAACAGGGAGATCAGTTTGAGAACAGAAAAACACCTCTGCACATGAAACACTCTTAATACACCAAAGAAACACATGACAAGCAACAGGGGGGTAAAGGGTGAGAGACAGCCAGTGTAGACAGCACATCCGGGCCTGCGTGCGCTGGTTCCTTGATCCCCGTCAGCATCGGAAGGGAATAAGCGTCGAAGGCGTTTGGAAAGGGAGGGGGGATAGTGTACAGGAACATCTGTGCCGAGTATAACCTGGAAGTCCCGAGGTCAAAATGGGAGTTATGACAGCCAATTTTATCATTTTTTCCTTTTCAAGCGTAATCCGACTTCACCTGGCTGCAACACTGATGTTGTTGTTCACTGACAAATCAAGCTGATAAGAGATCTGGAGCTGATTCCAAATGCTGAACACAACCAAGGTGTCCATCACTTTCATCATAGTGAAAAGGTACCAAATTCCAAATATACCAACTATGGAAAATGTTGACGCAAATGAATAAGAAACCCAACTAAATCAATCAGAAAGACAGAATAAACTTTATTCGAAGCCAAACAATCAATCAGTGATCATACTCCTAAAAAGCAGGAATGCACTGGTCAACTCAACAACAAAAGGTAGGAACAGTGCAGGAATTTCTCGCTTGTTAAGAGAAATGCCTTGCTAATACTGAGCCAGTTAAGAATACTCTTAAACAGGCAGGTGTATGAGTCTATAACTAAGATGTAAAGACAGTGCAAATCCACAATGACACAAAGTACGCTACAAAGCAACCCAAGAGTTTCTGAAGAGAAAGACATTTTTCAGTCACCACTTTTTCACAGCTAATTCAACACTTTGGCTAAAAACTCGAATTAAAACCTGAATTTTAATCATATTTTCATTACTTGATTAAAAACACACTACGTTAGAGTACAGAGGCAAAATCCAAAGATTGTGTCATGGTCCAAAAAATGACTAAATCAAACATTGAAACACTCGATGTCACATTGTTAGATGGGTAACTCGCAGCCCATCACAGGACGTCATCACTTTTTAGCACCACCTTACTCTCTGCCTATTGGCCCTTACAAAGGTGCAACGTTTCGAACCACCAGCCACGATGCAGTGAATGTGTCCACTATTTTGTATTTGTATTGTAGGAGAAAAAGCAGATGTTCTCTGCAGTTATGCATGCTTCTGTCCACAGGGGGCACCATCGCTAAAAACATATTTCTTTATCTAAATTGTTGCATAACAGGGTGAAGAAGGTGTAACATTAAATTGATTTGAATCATTCTGTATTTGCAATAGTATCCATTTGAAAATGTATGTCAATGTGCAAAGCTTTACAGTTTCAAATGATTTTTAAAAGGTTGCTATATCCAGTGTCGGCAATGACTGCATGAATAAACATCTATTTATTTATGCCCTCAGAAAGTAAACAAATCAGCAAATAACACAAGAATAACCCTAACAGCTATTTCAACCCCTGGAGTCATATAGTTGTAATAGAGAAGTGTCATCCTGCAGTATAACAAATATATATATATCTGGTGTTATGTACTTTAGGTAGTTTATGCTGTCAAAGATTTCATATAACTGCGATCTTATTTTCATGAAAGCATAGAACTGGGTCTATCAGCCAGCAGTTTATTTTACAGCCTGGCTCACTGTCCATGTGCAGACTGTAGCTTTGCTGTTACAAACAGTCGACTCTGTAACCACACGAGCAGTCCCCCTCCTGCAGGAGGAGGAGCATGAATAATGTAAGCAGTCGATAAATAAGCCTTTGAATGTGAAACCCACAACAGACACACGGTTTCACAGAAGCTAACCTAAACTTAACCTGATTAAGCTTTAAGCCAAGTCAATGACGGTTCATGGTATGATGAACCGTGGACAGTTTTGTAGGTTGAAAACATCGATACAGTATTTGAACAAAAATAACATTATTAAGATTAGCCAAGAAGGCAAACAATGGTAAAGCAAATATGAAGCGTCCGTCATTGAAACGGTTTATGCAGGAAGGCGTCTTTGGGATGTTTAGAGTTTAGTTTGTATCTTTCATTGTTTGTACATGCTGCCTTTATTTAGATACGCTGGTATCAGGTCAGTTTGTTTTTCAAAGTGCTCTTGAATTAAACAAAGAAATTGTGTTCACTGCTGCGTATTTAAATTTACAATAACAGATTACACAGCAGTGGGGAACACATCACTGTGGCTGGTGTCTTTCTAAAAGTCAATTCCTCCACTGTTATCTTGATGCCATGTGCCAGCACAGTGCAGAGCAGCTACCTAAACTCTCCTCCCACTGAGGATGATTATCTTGTTAATAGTCTTAGATCCTCACTGCATGTAGGTCTGGATACTGTGACTCATCTCATCTCACTAATGTAGAAAATCTTTTAGCCTAGAAAAACTGTTGCATTTTAAAAAGGCCCTCTGTAAAGCCAGAACATCTTACTATTCATCACTGATTGAAGACAATAAGAACAACCCAGGGTGTAGCCAGGCTGACACTCAGAGCTCTGTTGAGCCAACCATCCCTTTAACCCAAACTAGTAATGACTTCATAAAATTCTTCAGAGGTAAAATTTCAAACACTAGAGAAAATGATCCATAATCATCCCACAGATGAAACATTGCATCCCACTATTATTTATTAATTATTTCTTGTTATTGAGTTATATTCTTCCTCTCCTGTTGATATTTCTTGGTTAACTTCAGTAATCTCTTCCTCCTGTCTATTAGAGCAGGTCAGAGAAGGCCTACCTTTAGTCAAAGACTCATTCTTTCAATATCCGTTTTAAAAAACCTGACCTGTCTGACAGTTTTGCCAAGAGGATCTACCCCAGAGGAGCAGAGGGAGGCCCCAGATGGAGTGCCCACAGCCAAAAGGCAGGAGCACCAGAGAACCAGGAGCAGGAGGCAGCAGACTCCAGCCGGAGTCGGCCTCCCAGCACGAGCTGAGAACAGGGCCACAGGACCCTAGGTGCCCAAGGACTGCCTGACACCTGGCGGGAACCCCAGCATGCAACAAAGAGGTCAAACCACTTCAGACCACAGGCCTGAGGGCCAGCAAGTACCCACATCCAACAACCAGTGGAGATGGAAACCTCCCCACACTCAAGAAGAGTGTCCCACAGGGACCAAGGCCTAGTGAGCCACACACACAACAAAAAGATTGTTGACTTATGTACCTGTGCATTTTCAAATGTCTGTGTTTCAGGTGCTGCATGTTTGTTTTCCTTACAGGTGCCGTAGTTGAAGAGACATTGTGCATTTCTACTTCTACTCTATCCTTTTACTGCCTGTCCTGCCTTAGACATGGTCATACTGTATACTACGTATAATGACTGAAATAACACAGATAGAAATGACAAAATAATCAGATAAGCCCTGAACAAGAGGAGCCTGTAGAGAATCTAAGGAGCTGTTCTTGGCAAAACAAAATGTGTTTGGCACAACAGTGGATCCAGATCATTCCACCCCCAATCAAAGGACTTCCTCTCTACACAGACTACACAAACAACCATCACTACTCTGTAAGAGTGAATTTACGTGCAATCACCTACACTGTAAATATATAACAATATTGTTTTATATGTATACATTTGATATTGAAGCTGTTCAGATGTTTATGGTGCCACAGAACTGTGCACCTTACCCCCGTTTTTTCCACAGTTGCTCTGAATTTCATTGTACGTGTGTAGTGACAATAAAAAGCATTCAGATCTATAATTCTGATTGCAAAAGCTGTCATATAGGACAGGATTAAAAAGCAAACAAACAAACAAAAAGAAACAGCGTGAGACGCCCATGACACTTTTAGTCATATTTGTGACCACAAGCTTTGATCTGTAGATATTTCTAAGTTCAGCTGATCGGGATTAAATCTTTCCTGCATAAAAGATTTAAAATGTCGATATTCAAGAAACCTGTTGTTGCCGATTCCATATTTTAAAATGTGTTCCTGAGAAAGTTGAATAACATGTTCTAGATTTCTTTTATCCACTCCTGATGCCATGACAGAATGTTTTTTGATTCATTTTACTCATAAATATTTGGATTGTTCCAAATGGGTTTACAGGAGATAACTGAAGACAGAACAGAGGGTTTATGTTAAGCCATAAATCAATTATGATGCTTGATACTGTTCTGTTCTATTCTAGGCCCAGCCATGGGATGTATAAGCAGCTTGAGTTAATCTTTCTGAAACATAAAAACTTGGTCGCTCTCGACCACCACTGTGTTTAGACTTTTCAAACTTATTTGTGATGGTTTATTTTTCCATCAATATTTTCGGATCTTTGAGTCTAGTAACTTAAACCAGGCAGTGGAGGGTTTGTACGGGATCAGTGAGAGACGGTATTTTATTTCCATTTTAATTGTGGTAACTTTTCATATGCTTCAATTTTAAATACAATGAACCTGTCTCTATGAATGGGATACGTATTACAAGCCTTTAAGGTGGCAGTAATTACACAATTACTTAAAAAGTGACCACTTCACCCAGCTTTTACTGATTTAACCGATCGTCTGCAGAGGAATGGTCTATTTAAAGAATTTCAGTTAAGTTTCATCAAGCTCTGTCCTGCTGGACCTCAGTGCAGCATTCAAAACTGCAGATAAAAGCATGCCAAAGATTTTAAATGTGCTGCAATGGTCTGAATTTCATCTAAATGGACTGATTCTTCTACTTCATCTGAGCACTCGAAGCGCTTTACACAACCAGCCCTTCAGTTTTTTTGCCCTGTAAGTTCTTTCAGGCATATTTGTTATGCAGACTGGATGAGATGGGGAATCACCAACCTTCCAATTAGTAGGTGACCTGCTCTACCACCTGAGCTGCAGCTGGTTGTAGCTCAGGTGGTAGAGCTTTAAACTCCACATAATACATTCAAATGTGTTCACGTAAACAGCGAGTCTTCTTCACACATACAGCTTTATTATGGCATTCCACAGAGTTCTATGCTAATACCAGTTTTATCTACAATATATATGCTTCCCTTTGGCAGTGTTAATTAAAAGGCATAGCATAGCATTTAATTCTTTTGCAAATAATATCGATCTTATCGATCCGTGAAGTCAGATATGTCATGGTCCTGGGTGTTTCACAGGACAACACAATTAGTTAAACTTAAGACATAAAGACCTGGATGACCTCTGATTTCCTGCTTCTAAATTCAGATAAAACTCAGGTTATTGTACTCGGTGTCTAACTAGATACTCTGTCATTCAATGCACACGTTAAACAAATATGCAGGACTGCTTTCTGGCATTTGTTCAAGCTCACTAAAATTAGAAACGTGTCCTCTCACAGTGAAGCTGAAAAATTCATTTACGCATTTATTACTTCTAGGCTAGACTATTGAAATTCATTATTAAATAAAAATTCCCCGAAAGCCTTCGACCGATTCAAAATGCTGCAGTAAGAACCAACAGGGATTATAAAGACAGAGCATATATCTCTTATATTGGCTCCCTGTTAAATCCAGAATTATCTCTGCATTTAAAGGTCTTGAAGAATCAGGCTCTATCTTACCTTAAGGACCTCAGTGTGCACTATTTATAAAGTTATTGGATGGTGAATAACACCTTAGGTCCTCCCATCTAAAGTTACCATTGTGTTTATAATGACAGGCTAATATAGTCTCTACATAAGGATTCATATAAGTCACAGTAATTCTCTTGGAATTTGTTCTTTTCCAACAGATGTTGAAAATGATAAAGTCCCACAAACTGTTTGTATAACAAACAACACAAAGTCCAAACCCCGTCTGAGATTTGGCTTTACAGCCCTGTGTCTGTCCTTCCACATTATACGTTGTAATGGTAATCGCCTTTATGGGCCTGGCACAGAAACGGCCGCCTTCAAAGAAACCGGACTGCATGATTTTTTTCAAATAAAAGAGTCAGACATTTTCAAAAGGAACTTTATGTTCATTTTAACCAGAAAGTTTGGGTCAAGGCTTGCAAAACACATTGTGGAAAAAAACAAAACAATGAGAACTGATATCCAAAAATGTGTCCAAAATACAACCTTCCTTTGTGGTTACTTTTCCAATACAAAACAGATGCATTAGCCTACCTGTGCATCAAAGGTCTGTAAATAAGGGCTCCGCCCTGCTCTGCACAAACACAGAGAAAGCAATCTCACCATGGAACAGGGCCTTTTCTGACAAGGCCAGTATAATATTTCACCATTTTAAAGAAAGAAATCTTTCTTCCTTTGTCGTTGGAGACATTTGTTATTTAGGTTACTTAGAATCCACTGTGAATAAACAAACACCAAACAACCTCGACAAATGATTTGTCCAGATTTTAAGGTGTTACTCTGACTGGTTTCAGGAAGAAGGCAGAGCCTCACAAACCGACAAATATTCAATTCAGTTTTATTTATACAGCAGCAAATCACAACAGCAGTCGCCTGAAGGCGCTTTATATTGTAAGGTAGACCCTGCAATAATACTGATTCAATGCAGAGAGGTCTATTAACACATAGTGAGTGAGAAAGGTGACTGGAAAGGAAAAACTCAATGCATCATGGGATTCCCCCAGCAGCCTATGCCTATTGCAGCATAGTTATGCTGCAAACTATATACTTATACACATACTTCACTCTGAGCTGAAAATGCATAAGCCAATTCACACAAGTTGCAGATTTTGTAAATCTGCATCGTTTGAATCTCTCTGCTGTTCGAGGAATAAAGGAGGAAAAATGTTAATGCTAACGGAAATAAAGTTTGTCAGAGGTGATTAAAGTGCCACAACACCTTCTTCCTTCAGGTCTATAGGTGCAAACCTTAGAACGTGTACAACAGATTCAGTTTAGTTCAAACTGTGAACGTATATTACAATGGTCTACTACTAATGAATGAAACTTTTCTTTCAGCCTTTTGCCTTTAGTAGATAGTGTAGTAGTGGAGAGTGGACGATGAAATGGGAGAAAGATGCAAAAGATGGTTTTATGCAATTGTAAGAATGTTAATTTGTTCAAGGTATCATTTACTCTTATTTGGATTTAGCTGTTCTTCAAGCTTCTGATTTCCACTCTGCTTCGACAGTAGTAGTTCTTCTACTACCACATTTCAAAATCTTCCTTCCATGCCTTTATCTTATTGTGAACTCTCTTATGGACAGGAGCAGTTGATTGCAGACTTTCTTTGCAATCAAAGTTTTTCTTATTTCTGTTTTATTTACTTTTTGATTTAGTTAGTATTGATTATTTCTTGTTTAAAATATGTAAAATGTTGCCAGCATCAACAGTCCGTTTTCCTTGGCTTCTCTATGCTCCAACCTTCTCTTCACCTTTCTCTTCTATGACTGATTGTTGTATATGGAAACCCCTCCCTCCCTGTCCTGGTTTTGCGGGAGGTTTCTTCCTATGAAACGAGAGTTCTTCCTCCCTACCGTTGCCCAAAGCTTGCTCAAAGGGACTTGTGTGATTGATGGTGCTTTCTCGCTAATATTGTGGCGTCTGGTCGTTATATATCTACATTTGTTTTAAAGGACAACAGAAAGGAGCCACAACATTTTATGTTGTACCACAAAGGCACCACTACCTTTGTGACTGGGAGGCCTGGGCTAGTTTCCCGTGTTTTTAACACAGGGTGGAGAGGTAAACACAGGAACATGTGTGTGTGTGTGTGTGTGTGTGTGTGTGTGTGTGTGTGTGTGTGTGTGTGTGTGTGTGGGGGGGGGGGGCTAAAGATGGCAGCTGGTCCTAAAAGCAGCCCTCTGCTCTGTCATTTAAATATTTTAAACACATACATTTGCACGCCAGCCCAAGGCCTCCATCCTACCTCCATATCTGGCCCAGCTGCATGATGTGAATGACGGACTGGCCGAACCACACACAGAAGGAGTAGTAGGCCGAGCGTTTCCTATTCCTGTTCCCCAGCGCTGTGCTCGCCGTGCTGTTAGTGGTGGTGTTCTTGCTGGCGGTCGACGCCTGCCTCTGCGGCGTGGCCGGGTGGTGTTGAGCAGTAACATCACCGTGTGAGGCCGAGCCGCTAAGCAATTTATTCCCATCCATGAGGGAGCAATCGGTGACAGAATCGGCACCGTCCTCGGTGCTGAAGTCGTGGACGAACCATCTGAAGCTAAAGAGCTGGACCGAGAAGGAACCCAGCACAACGAAAAAGAGCGTCGGGCCGAACCACCAATAGTCGTGGCGGAGGTAGTAGTCGACCGACAGCCACACGTCGGTGCCCACATCGGCCAAATAAACGGCCACGGCGGCTACGATCCACAAGCAGTCCCACACCGTATATTTCTGCTGCCCTTTTCCCAGACGAAGGCACGTCGAGTTTGAGCCTCCCCCACCGCAGCACCGCGACTCCCCGTTGGCAAAATCCCCGTCCCCGGTGCCCGCAGAGTCCAGCTGGCCGCCCGGGTGGAGTCCCTGCACCGAGCCAGAGTGCTCCGAGTTCTGCAGAGGGGTGAAGGCCACGTCGCTCTTCTTCATCTTCAGGACCCCGTCCGATTTAGCAGCCATTATCAGTATCTTGATGTATTAGCTAGTCTATTCCCCCCGTTGCTCCCCGCCTTAGCTCCTCTGCTCCTGCCTCTCTCCGTCGACACCCTTGTGCGTGTGTCTCCTACTCCTCCTCCTCCTTTCTGGGCAGGACTAGCTCGTCCACACTGTCGTCTGGTCATAATACAGAATGAAGACAAAAGTGAAGAGCGATCGAAGCCCCGTGCTTGGTCCGGTATTTTCGTCCATATCAGATTTGGACTGGCCCTATGCCTCGAGGATCATTCGCTCACATACAGCGCACACGAGGACCTTTCCGCTGTGTGTCCTTCTAAACGGCTTCCGTTTCCAGCGCTTGTAAGTCACCGGAGCTGAGGCTGATGTTTGGGATGGAGATGGAAGCAGGAGCTAAGCGACAGGAGGACGGCTGCAGCCATCTGCTTGGCACAGACTAAAAACTATGACATCATCTCCCCCAACCCCCTCGACTCTCCCTCTCTTTGCTGTTTTCCGTCTCTCGGCAGTTTCCTTATGATTTGAGCGCTGTTACAATACAAAGACTCTCCTAAATCAGCCATGAAGAGCAAACATGTCCCTCTCAGTGTAACTAAAAGCATGCAGCTGATATGTGAACCAGGATAGAAACATCCGGAGGCCTGAACAGGGTTTCAGCACCGTGGACAGATCCAGCTGTTAACTCAGCAGCATCTGCAGGACGTTGCGGTCCATGCTCTTACGGGAGGTTTGCCTCCCACTCAAACCTTCCACATACTGTGGCAACAAAGTGGGAAGAACACAAGGACATTAACTACTCTGAGAAATATGGACAGGGCAAAGCAAATGTTTTCGTTTACATGGAGAGTTCTCACTGACCTACTAAGGAGAAAGCACTGTAAGGGCAACATTTCATCTTTTAATCTCTTGCTCCTTACCAGTTGTTAAAAAGGTAGCCTAAAATAAAAATAATGCATATAAGGAAGACTTAAAGTACACTTTGACTAATGAGCCAGTGTCACATAAAAGACACTTGATTTTCATATACAACATTCAAAGTCTGGTGTGGTAATTCCTATGAAACACCATAATTAAAAATACAATAAATATGTGTCAGTGCTCAATCTAAAAAGAAATATCCCATGGTCACTGAGTGGAGGTGCTTGTGGGTCATGGAGTCACTGCTGAGTGATATTTTACAATCAAACATCAAACATCATGTTTATCTTACTCAAATCTTCTTCTTTCTTCCTTTTTAAAGACAACCATGCTTACATTGAACAGAGTATGCACTTAGCCCTTGTAGACAGTCATAGCTACACTGTGTATAGTGCAGGTGTAGTGCTGCTGACCTCAGCTGAGGATGTTGTCGGGCGGTGGAAGGAATACTTTGAGGACCTGCTTAATCCCACTGACTCATCTTCTGAAGCAGGACGAGGGGATAAGGGGGCGGCTCATTCGTCACTGGGGGTGTTGTCACTGAGGCAGTTAAACCAGGCTGTTGCTGGTTGACATTCCTCTACAATGTAGCATGGATATCTAGGGTGGTACCTCTGGATTTGCAGACTGGGGATGTGGTTCTCATCTTCAAGAAGGAGGACTGAAGGGTGTGCTCCAACTATAGGGGAATCACATTCCTCAGCCTCTCCAGGAAAGTCTATAGCAGGGTACAGGAGGGTGAGTCTGTCTGTTGGTCAAACCTAGGATTCAGGAGAAACAATGTGGTATTTGTCCTGGTTGTGAAACACAGGACCAGCTCTTTATCCACTCTAAGATATTTGGGAGTTTGCCCAACCAGTCTACATGTCAGAGAATTCTACTGGAAGTACTTCAGCAGTATGGGGTGTTCGGCCTGTTGCTACAAGCCATTGCATTTTTATTCAACTGTTGCAAGAGCTTGGTTCACATTGTCAGCAATAAGTTTCGCTCCATCAGGGCTGCCCTTTGTCACTATTGCAGTTCATTTTTATTGAAGAGAACAGAATTTGTACTTTTAGCCAAGTGGGAAAAGGCTTCTACTTGGATCATCTCAGATTCTCATCTCTGCTTTTCACAGATCGTGTGTTTCTGTTGGCTTCATTAGGTGGTGGCCTCCAGCTCACACTGGAGTGGTTCACAGCTAAATGTGAAGTGGCAGGAATGAGAATCAGCACCTCCGAGGCCACGGTCCTCATCCAGAGTGGAGTGCTCACACCAGGTCAAGGATGAGTTGCTGCCCCAAGTGGAGGAGTTTAAATATCTTGAGGTCTTATTCACGAGTGAGGAGAGAGGGGAGCAGGAGATCGACAGATTTATCGGTGCTTAGCTGCAGTGATGCAGACTCTGTACCAGCCCATCGTAATGAAGAGGGAGCTGAACGTACAAGCATAGCTCTTGATTTACCAGTCGAGCTATGTTCCTACCCTCACCTATGGTAGTGACCGAAAGAACGAAATTGCAGACACAAACAGCGTAAATGAGCTTTCTCCAAAGGGTGGCTGGCCTCTCCCTTAGGGCGAGGAGTTCAACCATCTGAAAGGGGCTCAGAGTAGAGCTGCTACTCCTCCAAATTGAAAGGTGGCAGCTGAGATGGTCCGGGCATCTGACAAGGATGGCCCCTTGGTGAGGTGTTCCCAATGGGAGGAGGCCTCGGGTCAGAGAACGGCTTGATGTTCCCCCAGACATGAGGTCTGGGCTTCTGTGCTTAGGCTGCCGTTCCTCTAATCGCCCCCGGATAAGCGAAAGAAAATGGATGGATAGTCATAAGAAATGCAATTCACAGTAGTAGTTTTAAAAAGTATTGTATGCTTACAATACAATAAAATACATATACAATCTCCTCAGTTACAATAAAACTAGATATCACTGCCACTGGCTCCAGGTTAGTGCTAGAGAGCACCGCCTTCAGTCCTCTGAGTGACTCGTCAAGTTTCAGGAAGTTACCCACGAGCTAACTTCAAAATCTGTTACTGTTAACTAATATGAGAGTAGAAGCATTCAAACAATCATGACTGTTTATCAAGCCAGGATTGGAAATTTAAGGTGTAGAAAGAGCTAAAAACGGCAGTATTTGTTTTTCTGCTTTGAAAGATTAAATTAAATGTTTTCTATGTTTATGATTGTTTATCATCACAGAAATTGTTTTCCTGCTCTATTTACATTATACATGCTTCCATTAGGCAATATCATTAAAAGGCATAGCATACATTTTCATTGCTATGCAGGTGACACCCAGCTCTATGTGTCCATGAAGCCAGATGTCTCTTCAGTATCACATGGAAGTTGGTCACAATGCCTGTGACCGGACTGGCAGATAAGTGTGGTGGTACCCCTTCTCAAGAAAGGGGACTGGAGCATGTGCTCTGATTTCCGAGGGCTCTCACTTTTCAGCCTTCTTGGAGGGGCTATGCCAGGGTGCAGCAGAGGGTTCCATTTGTTAGTTGCACCTCAGATTCAGCAGGAGCGATGTGGTTTCTGTTCTGGTTGTGGCCTTATCAGGCAGTGACCTCCAGCTTGCACTAGACTGGTTTGCAGGCAAGTGTGAAGCACCCAGGATGGGAATCAGGAGGTCCAACCACTGTTATCAGCTAGAAAGAGTGAAGTGCCCATTCCAGGTTATTGATGAGTTGTTTCCCCGAGTGGAAGATGTTAGAGAATTGTGGATCAATATGATTGTCATCGTGCAAGGTGATTAGGTCTTTAGCATGAATGCTCACCTGTTTCCTACACAGACACACATACACATATCACATCACATGCTCATAGACACACACACAACAGATGTTCACATGTGAGTGTTTTATCTGTTGCATGATTAATGAGATGATTGTGTGACCACCGAGTTAATAAAAGAGCTGCGAGAGGGGGCCGGAGTTTGGAGTTGTCTGGGATCAGGCGAGGAGCTCGCAGCTCCAAGACCCTGGTCCGATCGGCTCCCCTTGCAAGTTAAAATGGATCGCGCTCTGTCTTGCTTTGTTCACGGGAATAAGTCTCTGAGTCAGCGACAAGTATAGACCTAACAGAAGAGTTTAAGTATCTTGGGGATGTGAGAGCAGAGCGTGAGATTGACAGATGGAGTGAGATGGATGCTGTTCTAGCCTGTTGTGAGCATGAAAGTGAAACTGTCAATTTACTGGTTGATCTATGTTCCTACCCTCAACTGTGGAGTAGGAACATAACTGAAATAATCGTGGCTGTTATTAAGTTGGTTAGGAGCTCTGGGTAGTAACTGAAAGAATGAGACTGAAATACAAGAGGTGCAAATGAGCTTCTTTCAACGGGTGAGGTAGTAGGCTCTCCCTTAATGATGGGGTGAGGAACTCGGTTATAAAGGAGGGGCTCAGAGTAGAGCTTCCACTCCTCCACATCAAAATGTTGTGAAAAGTTTTCTTAACCCTGCGTCCTATGTCATAGTGAGAGTTTCAGTGAATGACTACCAAATGCTAGTACTCCAGCCTAACATCATATATGCAAGACCTAGAAATGCTGGAGCCTTCTTTGGACAAAGAACCACTCAACGGTCCTGGACGCTACATCTTGGGTCTAGCACAGAGCTCGTACCCTATATTCTCAATGGTATGGGATTGTATTGATGACATACGACACACACATGTTACAGAACATGTTTTTAGCATGAATGAAAATGATAACGATTCTTCTGATCACTGTTTCCGAACTGGATTTGTTGTAAATTCACATAAATACAGGCTCTGCATAATTTGCAGATTGTCAAATTTTATTTCCATTCAAGGCAATATTTAATACGGTTCCTCGAATGTCCTGTTTAGAGTCATGTCTGTGACTGTTGCTACGCACCACATCATATTGTATATGTTGTATGGTTCATCTGCTTCGTGTGTAGATTAACCAGATGATCAGCATAAACATTACCAAACTGTATAAAAAGGGTATCAGTCATGTTATGAATGTTTTATTAGACACAGTACATGACACAGAATACACTTTCACAGGGACTTATGTTCTTGCTTATTACAAACGGCAGCTTTTAAACTCTCAGTATGTTATTGAGCCACGATGGGGCGATCGTGGCTCAAGAGTTGGGAGTTCGCCTTGTAATCGGAAGGTTGCCGGTTCGAGCCCCGGCTTGGACAGTCTCGGTCGTTGTGTCCTTGGGCGAGACACTTCACCCGTTGCCTACTGGTGGTGGTCAGAGGGCCCGGTGGCGCCAGTGTCCGGCAGCCTCGCCTCTGTCAGTGCGCCCCAGGGTGGCTGTGGCTACAATGTAGCTGCCATCACCAGTGTGTGGATGTGTGCATGAATGGGTGGATGACTGGATATGTAAAGCGCTTTGGGGTCCTTAGGGACCAGTAAAGCGCTATATAAATACAGGCCATTTACCATTTATTCATTTGGTCAAACCATTATCTGTCTGTCAAGTGTAAGCATTCTGATGTTTACATGCAACCTACCACTCTCAAATGGACAGTAAAAACAAAGTTGTGGAAATGTAGCATTTTATAAGAAAGGAAATAAAAGATGAATTTTTATGTATCAATAGAACTTGTTTACTTTCTGCAGTAACAGCCTTTGCAAAACATGCAGTCACCTGTGGATTCTGAGTTTACAATCCTTCATTTGTTTTCATCCCTGCAGAGTGGACAACTTTTATTCTCTTGGCTCTTAACTTACTTAAGATTAATTAGGTTAACTTACTTAATCACTAAGTAAGCTCTTATGTGAGCTTACGTAGTGATGCAAGCACTTATAATTTCAATAAGATGTTAATTTGCTCCAATCAAATCCAATGTTACAGTCAAGCTGATTTCAATACATCTTTCAATAAACTTTGGTAACGTAGTAAAACAAAAAAAATATATCGCTACCTTAGTGATTCATTTGCTGCTGAAGCCAATTGAAAATAAAAGTATTTGCCCTTATATTCACATCTGTGTATTATATAAGTAAGGCTACGTCTCACAGCTGGGGAGTGAAACAGCGAGTTTGAGAAAAGAGGAAAGTTTTGTTTTATTTGGTTGGCACAATAAAAAGATCCAGCCGAAATACTGGCTGTTCATTTGAGGAAAAAAGAAGCAAAGCCTCAGTGTACAGTACTGTGTAAACGTCTCAAAGCAACTCTCACTTCTTTGAATTTTGCGAGGAAAATGGGAGCAAGTGCAGGATTTTTGAAACGTATTGAAACACACATGGAAGCCAAAAACAACGTCTGTGCAATTCTAAAGTCCAAAAGCTGAAACGCGGCTTTTGGAACTAAACTCTGTTGATATTCACTACTGTACCTCCCTGATCCTGATGATTTAAGATCTGTTGCCACTCATTTCAGTCCGGTTCTTGTGTAGTTTGGCCTTTTCTCTGTTTCCCTTCCTTAAGAGAAACAAATCACGTAAATCACTCAGTTCCTGTGTCGGAGCTTTGACAGATTTTTCTTCCTTTTTTAGGACGTGATTTGTAGATGTTGTTTATCTGCTGTAGACAGTTTTTTGTAATTCCCTCGGCCATGATGCTGTTCTTTAGCAATCACCTTGTTGGTACAGAAATATTATTCTATGCCTATCAAAATGTGATATCTTTGGCATTTTTCACAGACATACCTAAAGAAGGGGAAACACACTGTGTTTTTGGAAGGCTGCAAGTGTGCCTACAAATATGATTTAAAATTGATTTCTTTGTGACGTAGTTTGATATGTGAGGACACATCACTGGTTCATCTCTTGAGTTAGGAGCATTTTTTATGCTTGAATGAGTTATAGGTCAGTGTTACATAACTGTAAGTGAAAAGCAGGCAACATCCAAACTTCGAAAAAACTTGAGAAAACCTGAAGAACTATTGCTCAAGAAAGTCTCTCTGCGGAAGAAAAGTGTAAAGAAATGTTGTTGCTCAACAGTTTTACACAAAAGAACATTCAGCTGATTTAAATGATTTAGTCAGAGCTTGTCTCATGTTCCAGCTCACATACGTTGATTTTGAAATGTGGTTTTCTGACAAAGTCAAACTATTTATTTACACTATCACAGAGGTATAAGTGAACACTAATACATTGTCCACCTGAAAAACAGGGATCTTCTGGATCATCTTGTCTTGTTGCTGAGTTTTAAGTTGAACGGTTAATGTAGTTACAAATGATATAAAACAGGAACTGAGCATCCTCTACTTCTTTCGTGGCACCTTATCACCGAGCGGTACTTCATCCATCAGTTTCTGAAAAGACACCACAACGGTGATGTTAACATACCTTATAGTCATGCAGATGGCCAAAACACAAAATACATTCTGGTGAAGCAAAGATGCTCTATGAAACACGCAAAATGTCTTTAGAGTCAGTATCCAATAGGGATGGGTACCGGTGTCCGG